CCCCACTCCCCTCTCCCCTCTCTCCTCCTCCTCCTCCTCCTCCTCCTCCTCCTCCTCCTCCTCCTCCTCCTCCTCCTCCTCCTCCTCCGCCTCCTCCTCCTCCTCCTCCTCCTCCTCCTCCTCCTCCTCCTCCTCCTCCTCCTTGTGTTTCTCCTTTTCCTCCTCCCCGCGCTCCTCCTGCTCCTCATCCTCCTCCTCCTCCTCCTCCTCCTCCTCCTCCTCCTCCTCCTCCTCCTCCCCCTCCCCCTCCTCCTCCTCCTCTCCTCCTCCTCCTCCTCCTCCTCCTCCCCCCCCCCTCCTCCTCCTCCTCCTCCTCCCTCCCCTCCTCCTCCTCCTCCTCTTGTTCCTCCTCATCCTCCTCCTCCTTTTCCTCCTCCTTTTCCTCCTCCTCCTTCTCCTCCCCCTCCTCCTCCTCCCCTCCTCCTCCTCCTCCTCCTCCTCCTTCCTCCTCCTCCTCCTCCTCCTCCTCCTCCTCCTCTCCTCCTCCTCCTCCTTCCTTCTCCTCCTCCTCCTCCTCCTCCTCCTCCCCTCCCCCTCCTCCTCCTCCTCCTCCTCCTCCTCCTCCTCCTCCTCCTCCACCTCCACCTCCTCCTCCTCCTCCTCCTCCTCCTCCTCCTCCTCCTCCTCCTCCTCCTCCTGTTCCTCCCCTCCTCCTCCTCCTCCTCCTCCTCCTCCTCCTCCTCCTCCTCCTCTTCCTCTTCATCCTTGTCATCATCCCAATCCTCATCCTCATCCTCATCCTCATCCTCATCCTCATCATCGTCATCATCATCATCAGCAGCAGCATCAGCAGCATAAACAGGAGCAGCACCGTCATCACCATCATCAGCATCATCAGCATCATAATCATCATCAGCAACAGCAGCAGCAGCAGCAGCATCAGCATCATCATCAGCAGCAGCATCAGCATCATCATCATCAGCAGCAGCATCAGCAACATAATCAGCGTCAGCATCATCATCTTCAGCATCAGCATCAGCAGCAGCATCAGCATCATCATCATCTGCAGCATGCTCATCATCGTCATCATCGTCGTCATCATCATCAGCAGCAGCAGCACCATCAGCATCAGCATCATCATCGTCGTCATCAGCAACATCATAAACATCGTCATAAACACCATACACATCCTCAGCATACTCAGCAGCAGCCGTAGCACCATCATCAGCTGCATCAGCATCAGCATCACCATCAATAGCAACTTCAGCATCAGCATCATCGTCATGATCAGCACCATCCTCATCATCAGCATCATCAGCATCAGCATCAGCATCATCAGCAGCAACATCATTCTCAGCATCACCATCATCATCATCATCGTCATCATCGCCACAACGACCACCACCACCAACGATATCATCAGCATCGTCATCATCAGCAGCAGCATCATCATTAGCATCAGTGGCATCACCATCATCATCAGCAGCATCGTCTTCATCAGCATCCTCATCCTCATCATTATCCTCATCGTCATCTTCATCCTCATCCGCCTCGTCCTCATCGGCCTCCTCCTCCTCCTGCGCTCTTGCGCTCCTCAGCAGTTGTCCCGATGACACGAGACGCCTGCCCGAAAGAAAAGAGAATACAAGAAATCATGGGCGCCTAAGGGGGATAGGGATGGACGCCTCCGCTATAGAGTTCGAGGGATCCTTACCCTGGTTCAACAACCCCAGGGCTCTGCCTTTCCAAACTGTTTCAGCTAGACCCTGACACTGCTGACTGATTTCCTTGACCTTCAAACGGGCAGACTCCCCACAGCGCACGCACCAGGTCGCATCAGCATTTTGCCAAAGACGATGGGCAGGGTGTGCCTGGAACACCACGCGCGGGACCCCAGGGCACTGCAGGTGCACCAGCCGAGAGCGAACCGAGCGGATCACCCCGCACGTGCTGCACCCGCACCCACCGTTTGGAGCCTGAGAGACTCCGTGACCTTTATCATCTGGGACTATCTCAAGAATCGGGGTCTCCGAATTCCTAGACTCTCTCTTGGCACGCTCACAATGTGACGACACATCAGGATAACCCAACTGGTGGACATGTTTGAGAACTGCCACCAATTATTTAGCAACGCAGGTAACCTGATAATGATGACGACGGAAGCGAACACGGAGATGATGGTTGACTGGGTGCGCCTTGGCACCTCTCTTGGCCCTGAAGCCTGCTTCATAGTTGCCTCGAAACCAATGCGGCTCATAGCCGCGTCTCTCCGCTGGGCCCTTCGACATGACCTCCTCCTCCTCCTCCTCCTCCTCAACCTCTTCCTCCTCTTCATTCTCCTCCCGATGACTCCGCATCGCCTAGCAAAATAAACATCGGCAGAAAGGTTTGCAAGCGTTGACCCCAAGCAGCGGGTTGTCGCAATCTCGATGTGAAAGATTTGCGGTGCCGTCTGTGCACAGTGCAACTACAGTCAACGGAGTGCAATATACGTGGTGCAATGCATGTGACGCACGGAAGACAATATATCCACATGCGTTGTGCAAGCTATGGTGCGCAAGTTAGGTGTGCAAGCTACGTGGTGCAAGCTACATGGTGCAACACATGAGAGAAGCTGTGTCTACTATATGTACATGTGTATGTTTACATGTATACACGTACACGCATGGTGCAATATCCGCAACCGTGTCAGGAGGCGCTGAGTGGAGTGACCTCAGGTCCCTTGGAGCCCTGTGTAGAGGTGAATTTTCAAAGGCGCCGACAGCTCCGAGTTCGGGGCGCTCTCAAGTACTCTCGGGGCGTCCCGCAGGCCTCTTGGGATTTCTCGCAGGATTGCCCCGCGAGCTCAATAAAGCCGCTTCGCTTGAGGGACCCTCAAAGCATCGGCCCCCGAGGAGGGAACACGAACGAGTCTTCGAGCCCTCTGGGGACAAGATGGCGCCTGCGGCCGCCAAGAGTTAAGTCCCAAGGAGGCCTCCGAGAGCCCCCCGAGGGCCCCCTAAGAGGCCCCAAAGAGGCCCCAAAGACGCCCCCAGGTGCCCAAAGAAGCCCCCACTAGGCATCCGAGAGGCATCCCAAGAAGCACGGTGCCGGGATGGGCCGAAGGCCACTAGATCTGGGCCGGCACGGGAACGGAAAGAGCGCACTCAGCAATTTGCTCGAAAATGCTCATGGCTTCATTCGCCTCTCGAGTTTTGGTATCAAGAGTCTTTTGCGCCTACACTCACTCTTCGGAGCCTTGTTACTCCTGCTCCTCCTGCTCCTGCTTCTGCTCCTCCTTGTTCACCAACCAATCGAAAATCAGCGCTCCTCCTCCTTCTTCTGCTCTTTCTTGCTCATCCTCTTCCTCATCATCCTCCTCATCCTCCTCCTCTGCTCCTCCTCTGCGTGCTCCTCCTCCTCCTCCTCGTCCTCCTCCTCTCTTCCTCCTCGTCCTCCGCTTCCATCCTCGTCCTCTTCATCCTCCTCTTCCCTCATCTTCATGCTGCTGCTCCTCCTGCTGTTCCTCCTCCTCCTCCTCCTCCTCCTCCTCCTCCTCCTCCTCCTCCTCCTGCTCGTGGTACTCCTCCTCCTAAGAGTTTTGTCACGCCAGTCGTCATTATCAATGAGGAGCCATGGTGCTGTGAGCTTATGACGTCACTGTGAGCTCTTGGAAGCCTCTGTTATGTGGCGTATCCGAGCCTTCTTGGGGGTCGTTTTGGGGTCATTCGGGGCCGTCTTGGGCCCTCTTGGGCCGACTTGGGCAATTTCGGGGCGTCTTGGAAGGCTTTGGCCGTCTTGGGGCTTGGGGTCTCTTCAGGCCCTCTTGGGAGCCTCTTGAGGCCCTCTTGGGGCTCTCTTGGGAGCCTCTAGACCATCTTGGGCCGTCTTGGGCCCCTCTTGGAAGCCTCTTTGGACCCTCTTGGGCCCTCTTGGGGCCTTCACGGGGGCCTTGAGGCGATCTCTTGGGCCTCTTGGGCCGTCGTGGGCATCGAGCCGCCCAAAGGGCCATCCCACTCGATCAATATCGAGGCCGGAAGGCGATTAGACTTTTCGCCCGCCCGTCACCCCCCCCCCCTGGACCCCCCCCTTGGGCTGACGCCCTACCAAGAACGGAACTGCGTGAACGCTCTTTCCGTCATCCGCCGCCCCCTGTCGATTCGTCGCAGGTGTGCCTGGCGCGCTCGACCACTCGGTTTTGGTTTTGGTCCTTTTTCCAAAAGAACTCCCCCTGGGGCTTCGGCCCGTCCCGCCGGCCACCAGGAAAGGTGCCCAATTGCACAATGTTTCCTCCAAGACGGCTCAAGATGGCCTCCATGATGGCCACGGTGGCCCAAGATGGCCTCCAAGATGGCCTCCGATGGCCTCCAAGTCCGCCCAAGAGAGGAGGCGATGCCTCCAAATCCGCCCAAGAAACCTCCAAGACGGCCCAAGAGGTGACCGAGAGGCCTCCAAGACGGCCCAAGAGGCCTCCAAGAGGTCATCCAGGAGGGCCTGGAGAGGCCAAAATCATTAATTGTTTCTGCGTTTTTATACGTTTTCCGTATTTGCTCCTTTTCGGCTTTCCGACGACCCAAGACGGCCCAAGAGGCCCCCAAGACCGCCCCCACAGCGCCCAAGAGACCTCCAAGATGGCCTCAGGACTGCACGCCCAAGAGGCCCCCAAGACGGCCCCAAGAGGGCACAAAGACGACCCAAGAGGCCTCCTAGACGCCCAAGATGGCCTCTAAGACGGCCCTGGAGAACCCCAAGAGGGCCCCAAGTCGGCCCAGAGAGGCCCCCCAAACGGCTTCCGACGGCGTCAGACGGGCCAGGAGCGCACCAAGACGGCCGAAGTTGACTCGAAGCTGGCCCAAGACGGCCCAAGAGGCGTCCAAGAGGGCCTCCAGGAAGGCCCGAAAAGGCAAAAAGCATTGTTTCTCCTTTGGTTTTTGAAGGATTTTGACATTTGCTTCTTTTCGGCCTTCCGACGGCCCAAGAGGCCTCCAAGATGGCCCCAGAACGGCCCAAGAGGCCATCAAGACGGCCCCAAGAGGCCCCA